TTGGGACAGAGAGAGACAGAGCATGAACGGGGGAGGGGCAGAGAGAGAGGGAGACACAAAATCGGAATCAACGTAATTTTAAAGAAGAAAATGGAAACTGGAAATTCATACTACCAAATATCAAGATTTATTGTAAAGTTAAAACAATTAAAGCATTGCAATATTGGTATGATGATAAACTGACTTCTAGACTAAAATAGAAAATATTATTTCAGAGGAACTGCAGATCAAAATGTTTTAATAAATACCTCAGAGAAAGCTTAGGGTCTGATATACTCAAAGATTTCTTAAATGCTACAAAATGAGTTAAATATAAAGGAAAATATTGATAAATGTATTATGTGATGATTAAAAATTACAGGTAGAGATTTGGGGTTCCAGAATGATGTACTATACATACTTTTCTATTGTGTACAGTTAAAAACAGTTTTATATGTAAAGCTAACATAATACTGTGAAAGCTGAAGAGAGAAAGGCAAGACTAGGTAGGGACTTTGGAACCCAAGGAACAACACAGCAGTGAGTTTCCTTTCATTTTTGCCTCATATATCGCAACCTGGGTGTCAGAAAAGCTAGCAACTCGGAAGTGCCAAATGGAACTGACAAAAAAGAGTCATCAAGGAAAGCCTGACTTCTTTATCCAAAGGGGCAGTCAAGAAAACAGTATACTTTTAAATAATAACTGCTCTACTTCAACCACACAACATAGAAAGAATTGTGGTCATACCTTCACTCTAACCAGGGTGGTATGAGCAGAAGCCTACTGGTGTCTGTCTTTCCCTGACCCTTGTAGTAATTAGGAGGCCCTCTCATCTCAGGTGATATCTCTTGTCCCTTGTCTAGAACTCTAACAGAGAACTGCTAAAACAGGTTTAAACAGGATTCAGAATCGCATAATATTCAAAATATCTAGGTTTCAATAAAAAATCAGTCTTAATACCAAGAACCAAGAAAATCTCAATTTGAAAGAGAAAAAAACACTAACATCATAACACCAAGATTACACCAATATACTTTAAAGAATGTAAAGCAGCCATCATTAGCATATTTCAAGAGCAATTACAAACATGCTCTTGAAACTACTAATGGAACGATAGAAAGTTCCAGCACACACAGAGAAGATATAAAAAAGAACCAACTGGAAATTTTAGAAATAAAAAAAAAATTATAGGGGCACCTGGGTGGCTCAGTTGGTTAAGTATATGACTCTTGGTTTCAGCTCAGGTCATGATCTCACAGTTTTGTTAGTTTGAGCCCCGCATTGAACTGTGCTGACAGAGCAGAGCCTGCTTGGGATTCTCTCTCTCTCCCTCTCTATCTGTCCCTCCCCCACTCACAAATGTTTCTGTCTCTCTCAAAATAAATAAATAAACTTAAAAAATAATAATTTATAAAACTCGGTGATGGGCTCAGGAGCAGAATGAAGGTGGCAGGTTAAAGAATCAGTAAAGCTGAGGATAGAACCATAGAAAATACCCAATCTGAATAACAGAAAGTACACTGAAAAAACAATGAATAGAGCCTCAGGGATGTGTGAGATTATAGCAAAAGATACAATATCCATGATATTGTCATTCTAGAAGAATAAGAGAAAGAATTTAAGAATGGAAAAGTATATGAGGAAATAATGCCTGGAAAGTTTCCAGATTTGCCAAAAGGCATAAGCCTAAAAATGCAAGAAGCAGAAAGAATGTCATATAGGATGAACCTAGTAAAATTCACAGTTGGATACAGCATAATTAAATTTATGAAAATTAAGACAAAGAATCTTAAAAGTGGTGAGAGTGAAACAACATCTTACCTTCAGGGAAAATACAATTACAATGACAAGAACTGAAATGAGACCATATGGGAACTAGATATACAAATGCCACAGATTACTGTGCTGATTTGTCCCACCAGCCGTATGACTGCTTAAAGCTTTACAGATCAATTCACTCATCTCTCCAGCAGTGATTGTCTCCTGGGAAAGTCTAATCATTAGCCTATGCCCAACTGGCCAATGTCCCCATGTGGGGAAAACAAAGAAAGGAGTGAGGGAGGAAGGAAATGGAAGGAAGGGAAGTGAAGGGAAGGGGGGAAGTGAGGGAGGAAGAAAGTTTCTCCCTATTTGGTTCAGTAGGAGCTTTAAACTGGCATGACTTTTTACTCTCACACTATTGCTAATAAAAAAAAAAAAAACTAATTGGCAGCCTTTTCCATGTGACAGGGGTTTGTCACATGACAGTCTTCATTGTGGAAACTGGCTTTTAGGCCATGATACTGCATTGGATGGCACTCTTCTAGAGGACAAACCATTTGAAAAGCCCCAATTCTGTAGTCACCATTAATTCAGTTGCTTTAGAAAACAAAATACCTTTCTAAACTTTCTCCTTAAGGATAAAAGTGTTGTGTCGACTAAATTTTGTAACTGAGAGAAAGGAGAGGTGAGTAGTGAATATGAAAGCTAACTACTTCTGTGGTTTTGAGGACAGATTTCCATTGATAATTCTGCATTTTAGCCACCCTTCCCTACCTGCCTTTTTGACTCTTCTTCCTCTGCTTTTCCTTCTTACTCAGGCTGCAGTTCCTCCAGAGCATTCAAGGTTGATCAACCAGGGTCTCTCCTTTACCATTGTATTTGATGATGTTGCTTCCTCGCCTCATTTTATCCACCAGGGCCTTCATTTTATTTCAAAATCCCAGGAAGGTCTTAAATCTTTTATCTTCAAATTGCCTCTTTCTGATACTCCTTTACTCACATTAATTAGGAAAAGGGGAGTTGTTGTGAGTGAATTTGATGTGGAGTTTTTCTGTGGTTATTTTAAAAATTCATCCAAGATATACTTTATTTTATGTGTTACTTTTCCTTGTTCAGTTGATTTCAGAGTGGTTGGAAAGGAAAGACTTCTTTATCTTACTCTCACTAAATGTGGGTCCTTTGTAAAAATTATCTTGATAGATAAAAAGAAAGAGGGAGAGGAGGGAGACTTTATTTATTAACATCTAATAGAAAGTACATCTGGAAGAAAAGTACATCTTCCTTATTAATCATAATGAAATTTTAAATAAAACACTCATATATTGAATACTGTTATATACTGGGTGAAGAGTATACTGCATGGAGATAGGCATATTCCAGCAATGTAAGTTTGCTTAATATTGGATATGACAGAAAGCCTTCTGATTTTTTTATTTATAAGGCTTAGAACAGGAGAAGTGATTCTAGTTCACGTACATAGGCCAGGGAAGATGAACATATCTCAGCACATTCATTTCAAACTTGAAAAGGGATATGTTTGGGACATTTAAATGTCCAAAACTAGATAAGCTAATCAATGAATTGATGATTAAAATTAACTCCCTTTTTCTTACCTGGGACTCTACAAAGATATGCTTATATAATCCAGGCATTTCTCTTTAGGAAATATGTATTTTCTTATATTGTTTTTTCTTTTCTTTGAAACATGGTATGGCTGCTTCTGGGACACTTTTTGTGTCTCCTGTTCAAAGAAGGAAGTCTTATATATTAATTTATATTCAAAACATCATCTCAACCATTGCCCAGGCCTAGCTACTTTTGTAGCGTCTCTTGTTTTTGCTGTCATGACAAAAGAGCCAGCTGCAAATTGATCCGTTACTTGAAGGAAATTGTATCAGAAGCATGGGTCTTAACTTTTCCTGACTTTTCCCCCTAAAGACAACCCAATGAAATATGACTAGTTATTATTGCCTCAATGGCAATGTTTAAGGAGCACTAGAATGAAAATGATTTTGTGCACAGGTAATGCTGGTTTGTACAAAATTTTGTTATTCTTGCTGGCTTCATCAGAGCACTTCCAGTTACTGAAAAACTGATATTCTATCCTTTATGATTGGTTAATGGTGATAGAAAATAATGATTTTTAAGACTATTCATCATACAATGTATATTCTATCAGATAACCTGAGAAAAGCTGACAGATAATTTTTACTGACTTCCCTAAAGATATTAAAATTAAATTAAAATTTGGATAGAGGAATAAGCACTTAAAGTCCACATGCAAATGAGGTAAATAAACAAATAATTTAAAAAGTATCTTGTGTTTAGTGAGCATTTACTATGTGTGTCCAACAAATTATTTCATCCTTATAACCTACATTTGAATAAATTTGGGTTATCAATTGCTGTTCCAAATTCAAAGTTGGATAAGCTAAAGCACGGAGGGATTAAATAACTTTCTCTAGAACACGGTGCGAATGTAAAAGACAGATATTGTCATTAAAGTTGAAAATAAATATAAAAATTATAAGAACACTGATATTTAGCATTGATCAATATGAGGCTCTGTGACTAAAGTAGTTCCTGCACTGAGTATTGGCTCTATCAATAACTTATGCATGTCCCCAAAACAGCACATTTATTTTTTCAAATATAAAATGAGGATGGGGCCCCTGGTTGACTCAGTTGGTTAAGCATCCAACTTCAGCTCAGGTCATGATCTCGCGGTTTGTGGGTTCCAGCCTGGCATCAGGCTCTATGCTCTCGGAGCCTGGAGCCTGCTTCAGATTCTGTGTCTCTCTCTCTCTCTGTGCCCCTACCCCGCTTGTGCTCTCTCTTTCAAAAATAAATAAGTAAACATTTTAAATGAGGATAAAAACATCTCTTTCACGGGGTCAATCTGAGTATATACTATTAAAATGCATAGAAATGCCAGATCCTAGCTCATTACAAATAGTACAAATTGGCTGTTTTTGTTCTTACACCAATTAGTATCAATAAACTCACAGCTGTGCTCCCTCATGGGGAAAATAGAATCTCATTCTCAAAATTTTATGTGTAGTAATTATATGCCATTTGGACTCCCAGCTTCTTTTATTAGAAGAAGTAGATGTCATGAAATCCAGAGTGGTGTGTGCGTGCGTGCTGTGTGTGTGTGCATGTGTATCTGTATCTATCTTCTGCATCTAATTTCTGTATCAAGTACAATTGCTCAACTCTTGATTTTAAATATTTTCTGTTGGTCGTTTTAACATTTCAGTATTGTTATAAAGGATTCTGTAGAGAAAGAAGTGAGAACCCAGTAAAAACAAATTGTGACTCAGTAAAAAATTGCAGTGGACATGGGGTATGTAATAGTTTCTCTATTTTTATATATAGTGTTTAAAATCCATTAGTGGCATTTTCCACTAATGGTTAAGAATTATTTGATATGGAAATTTCTTTTAGAAACTTGCAGTTAAATTAGGAAATGGATTCCACTACTTATACTTATGTACATGATTTATGTGTTAAGATTATTAAAGGCCTCATGGGCTAATAAGCTTTGAACTTTGTACAAAAATGCAAAATGAAACAGTCTGTTATTATGTTAGATTAAGAGTGTGAAATTTTGGAAATGGGCTTGTTGAAGGCTACAAATATACTTTTATACATGCTTATATAAATTTTGCTTACAATTGAATGTATGTGTACTGATATATATGTAAACACACACTTAATATACTTATATTACATGTATTACACATATTTTTGTGAGAGCAGTTTCTTGTCCACTCAGATCTCTTTTATTCCTTAGCGGCTTCAATTTATTTCCTTGTATGTTTCCTCCATACTATATTTGAAAATTCATTTACTGATGGACTTTTAGATAATGTTAAATTTTTACTTGACTAATGTTGTTAATGGCACAATGAACATTGTTGTACACTCACCTTTGCACAATTATCTGATTTCTTAAATTGGTAGCAATGAAATCAGATGGGTCAAACTTATGCAGCATTTACATTTTCAGAAATATTTTGTTTTTAAGAAATATTGTACCAGTTTTGCTCTCACCTATCATGGATGAAAATGTGCATTTTCTGAAATTCTGGCCAGACTAGCTTCTCAGGTTTTTTAATCTCTTCTCACACGCTAAACTATTGTTAATTCACATTTAGTTAATAAATAAAGTCGTTAAGCATGTATGTGTGGTCATATTTGCCATTTATATTTCTCTATTTGTCCATTCACTGTGAAATTATCTATTAGGGTATAGAAATTTTGTAAATTTTGTAAATTTTTCCAAGCCAGCATTTGGCTTTAACTCTGTGGCTAGTGTCTCCTTGCCATGTCAATGCTTCATATTTTATATAATAATCCAGGAAAAAAGTGACCTAGCTGTGTGACAAGTATCAAAATTTTCTCCCAAATCACTTACATGTCCTATTATTAACAGTTTCTTTTCTGTTTCTTTCCTTTCTTACTTAAAGTTTAATTTTTGCATGAACCTATTTCTAGATTCTCGGTTCTGCTTTTGACCCCTGTTTTTTCTTTTCTTTTCTTTAAACTTAAATTTTAGTTAACATACAGTGCAATATTGGCTTCAGTAGAATTCAGTGATTCGTCACTTATGTACAACCCCGCTGCTCATAAAAACAAGTGCTCTCCTTAGTACCCATCACCCATCTCCCATCCACCTGTCTCTCTCAATCCATAGTTTGTTCTCTATCATTTAGAGTCTCTTGTGGTTTGTTTCCCCCTCTTCTCTTTTTTTTACTCCCTTCCCGTATGTTTGTCTGCTTTGTTTCTTAAATTCCACAATGAGTGAAGCCATATTGTATTTGTCCTTCTCTGATTGACTAATTTCACTTAGCATTATACATTCTAGCTCCATCTGTATCATTGCAAATGGCAACATTTCATTCTTCTTGATGGCTGAGTAATATTCCATTGTATATGGACAAGTCGATGGACATTTGGGCTCTCTCCAAAGTTTGGCTATTGTTGATAATGCTGCTATGCTATGAACACTGGAGTGCAGGGGAACCTAGGTGGCTCAGTCGGTTTAGCATCTGACCTCAGCTCAGGTCATGATCTTACAGTTTGTGGGCTTAAGCCCCATATTGGGCTCTGCTCTCACAGAGCAGAGTCTGCTTCAGATTCTGTCTCCCTCTCTTTCTCTGCCTCTCCATGTTCATGCTCTCTCTCTCTCTAAATAATAAAACAAACATAAAAAACATTGGGGTTCATGCACCTCCTCAATCTGTATTTTTGTATCCTTTGGGTAAATATCTACTAGTGCAATTTCTGGGTCATAGAGTAGTTCTGCTTTTAACTTTTTGAGGAACCTTCATATTGTTTTCCAGAGTGGCTGCACCAGTTTGCATTCCCACCAACAGTGTAAAAGTGTTCTGCTTTTTCCGCATCCTCACCAACACTTGCTATTTCTTGTGTTGTTAATTTTAGCCATTCTGACAGGTGTGAGGTGGTATTTCATCATGGTTTTGATTTATATTTCCCTGATGATGAGTGATGCTGGGCATCTTTTCATGTGTCTGTTGACCATCTGTATGTCTTTGGAAGAGTGTCTATTCATGTCTTCTGCCCATTTCTTAACTGGATTATTTCTTTTCTGGGTGTTGAGTTTGATAAGTTCTTTATAGATTTTCGATACTAACCCTCATCTGATATGTAATTTGCAAATATCTTCTCCAACTCTGTAGGCTGCCTTTTAGTTTTGTTGATTGTTTCCTTTGCTGTGCACAAGCTTTTTATTTGAAGTCCCAATAGTTCATGTTCATTTTTGTTTCCCTTGCCTTTGGTGAAGCATCTAGTAAGAAATTGCTCCAACCAAGGTCAAAGAGGTTTCAAAATCCTTTAGGATTTTGATGGTTTCCTGTTTCACATTTAGGTCTTTCATCCATTTTGAATTTGTTTTGTGTATGGTGTAAGAAAGTGTTGCCCAGTTTCATTCTTCTGCATTTAGCTGTCTGATTTCCCAATACCATTTGCTGAAGAGACTTTTTCCATTGAATATACTTTTACTATTTTGTCAAAGATTAGTTGGCAATCTAGTTGTCATATAATTGCGGGTCAATTTCTGGGTTTTCTATTCTGTTCCATTGATCTATACGTCTGTTTTTGGTGCCACTACCATTGTGTCCTGATGGCTACAGTTTTGTAATATAGCTTGAAATCTTGAATTGTGATGCCTCCAGTTTTGTTTTTCTTTTTCAGGATTGCTTTGACTATTTGGAGTCTTTTGTGGTTCCATACAAATTTTAGGATTGTTTGTTTTAGCTCCATGAAAAATGCTGGTGTTATTTTGATAGGGATTACATTAAATGTGTAGATTGCTTTGGGTAGTATAGATATTTTAACAATGTTTGTTCTTCCAGTACACAAGCATGGAATACTTTTCCATTTCTTTGTGTCCTCTTCAATTTCTTTCACAAGTGTTCTATAGTTTTTAGAGTATAGATCTTTTACCTCTTTAGTTAGACTTATTCCTAGGTGTCTTATTGTTTTTTGGTACAATTGCAAATGGGATTGATTCCTTGATTTCTCTTTCTGCTTCTTTGCTATTGGTGTATAGAAATGCAACAGATTTATGCACGGTGATTTTCTATCCTGTGACTGCTGAATTTGTGTACTTGTTATAGCAATTTTTTGGTGGAATCATTCAGGTTTTCTACATAGAGTATCATGTTGTCTGCAAATAGTGAAAGTTTGACTTCTTCCTTGCAGATTTGTATGCCTTTATTTCTTTCTGTTGTCAATTGCTGAGGCTAACCCTTCCAGTCCTATGTTAAACAGTAATGGTGAGAGTGACATCCTTGTCTTGTTCCTGACACTACGGGAAAGGCTGTCAGTTTTTTTCCCAATTGACGATGATATTAGCTGTGACCCTTTCGATTCATCCACGAGATCACCTTTATAGATATTTTCTAGCCTTCCTATTTCTAACAAATACATTTGTATCTATTTCTGGTTAAGCATGCTTTTTCCTCTTTGTTTTCCCCCATCATTTTGGTAAAAGTTCCCTCTTGTCACAGGTATTTTTGTTTAATCGAACACAATTCATATTATATGTCAACTCCCACCATTTTATAATTTCTAGCTTTACAATTTCTATAGTTTTTTAGAAGAATGCATTTCAGTTGTATCATAATGTTACCTATTTTTATTTAAAAACACAAGTGACTAATAAATGGAAATATCTATGACATTGAAAAGATATTGCATTGACATTTTTTATGTTAGATTTTATTTTAAAAATTACTTTCTGCATGAAAATACCATTAAAACTACCTATAATATATGAAATTATCATATTTTAATAACATATTATCTAACAGACACAAATAATGCACTTAATTTTTATCTTGTACATAAAATGTTCTCTTTTTTTTGTTTGTTTGGTTTTGATTTTAGGTTTGCAATAATAGGTTTAATTGTCACTGTGATGTTGGATATTCTCCTCCAAATTGTTATCTAAAACCATCATCACCAGGAGGAAGTTATAATGATGGGTATTGGTTTCCAGAGGGTTAGTATCTAGATGAGTGTGCTTCAGTAGAGCTTTATGTACTTATAGAAATGGTCTCCACTGATTATGTGGCTATTGAGTAACTGACATGTGGATAGTGCAACTAAAGAACTATAATTTCCATTTTATTTTACTTTATTTACTTTATTTAACTTAAATTTAAGTAGCCGCTTGTGGCTAGTGGCAACTATAACAGTACAGCTTTAGATCATGTTGTCAATGAAAATTTGTATATACTTTTTAGTTCCAATCAAGGAGTGAGCATGCTAATAGCCCTTTAATTTTAACCATGGTTCCCAAAACATTTCTGTTTATACGGCAGAGTTTTCTAGATAGGTATGGTTAAAGTACAGAACAGGTGATAGTTTTATTATGTATTTATATATTCCAAGGATGTTAACTATTGTGATGTGCTAATTCACAAATGAGTTTGCATCTTTAGTTAACCATACTATTGAAAGGTAAAGATAATAAAATCTATATCCATAGTATATGGATAGTAAATGGTATGAAACATTTTAAAATTTATTTGGTGAAACTTCATGAACAAATAAAGCATATTTGTTTTTTCTAAATTTTAAAATGTAAAAATCTCATAGCAGTATAATTCCATTAATGTCTTTCCATCATTTGCACTTTTGTAATTATATATATATATATATATATATATATATGTG